ACATGGGCCAGTCAGCCCCCATTTAAGACCCCCTGTTGCAGACCCCCTCTTTCACCCTCCAACTACTACGCTGGCCTCCGCCTCCAACCGAAGAAGTGCGTCCTCGTGCCCACCTGGTCCCTGCCGACGCCCGGGATCACCGCGAACATGCGTGCTATTCTGACCCAGATCTACGAGCCGTGGCAAGCTTCTCCATCAACAGCTTTGCGCGATACCTCGGCGTGCACATCGGCCCTGGCGCCTCTCTTGACCGTCAATGGCAAGGACCTGCCAACAAGCGGTGGGAACGCATTCAGATCCTGAGCGACTCCAACGCTCCCATCCAGCAGAGCATCAAGATGTACAACTCCGCTGCCATCACCTGTCTCTCGTACGTGGGCCAGCTCTACCCGCCATCCCCAGCATTCCTGTCCAAGGAGATTCATGGCGTCCACAAGTTGATCCGTGCTGCCCCTCGAGCTTCACGAAGATGGACATCCTGTCGTTCACGCTGTGGGCGTCCGCCACGATCCCGCAGGGCATCGAAACGCTTCTTGCTGCGACTATGTGGCGCGCCTCCACTGCGACCACTGCTGGCTGGCAGCCTCTACTTCGCGAACTCCGTGCTCATGCTGAAGACCTCCTCCCACTATGCGACGTTTTGGCTGGCAACTGGTACGCCTCATGTTGGATCGACGACACTTCCATTGCGCAGCGCTCCGACGCCATTTACCACAACAAGCTGATCGTGACAGGCAAAGGCTCCGTCTTCAAGACTCTCACGCGATCCACCGGCTCTACGGTGACCGCCGCCCGTGTACTTCAACGAGCTCATGTGCAAGCTGCTGCAGCTGGACGGCATGCTCTCCAGGCCTCCCGTCGTGACGAGGCGGAGGATCTCTGCACGCCCAGTCGCGACAGGACTCGCGATTACCAGGCGCCAAGTCGTGACAGGGCTGGTGGCCTTCGCACGCCCAGTCGTGACAGGACTGGCGGACTTCATCAGAGACAAGCTGGGTTCATCTCTTCGAGCACTACTACCTCGAGCGTCGCATCACGAACTTCCCCACAACAAGCCCACCTACGTGAACTACAACGCCAGCTGTGCCGCGACTCCTTCCACAAGACCATTCATCATCGTCTGTGTGCTTGGTTCCCACTACTTCCTGTCGATAGTGGCTCTCCGATGGCGCCTTCTACATCCGAGCAACCGGCTGGGAATGACGACCACGACTCCACGAAGTACCTGAACGAACGCTCTGAAGCATGGGCAGCGAGATGGATCCCCAGCGTGTTCTTCGGCCGCGACATGGACAACTTCAACGACTGGATGGACTGGTGCGTCCCCTACGTCACAGCTGCACTACACCGCCCCCAGTTCAATGTGCACTTCATCCTCGACGACGCGTATGGGTCTGCCAGTGCTCGCCGTGACATGGCGACGGAGATCTGTTACGGTGCGTGGCATCGAGCTGACCGTCCTCGTAACCACCGCCTGGAGATCTACCCCAGCGAGCGCATGTCGACTACCACTCATCGAGAACTTGCTAACGAAGCTGCTGAACACCGTGCCCGTCGTCCTGGATCGAACACGAACGCGCCACCAACCCGAACTTCCCGCAGGATGACGGCGACACCGCGTCTACAACTACGACCACCACCACGCTTCCCACCCACTCCACCAGCGACATCAAGATGGACTCCAATACCTCCGACCGTGACGGACTTCTTGGCCGCGCTGCTTTCCCTGCTAGCGTTGAACACGCTTGGCGCGATCTACGGCCCCACCTGGTGAACTCCACGGCATCGCTCTTCTGGCCCGCGGTCAAGACATTGTCAGGCGCATGGACGACCTCGCATCGCATGCACGGCAGCCCTCACAAGAAGACCTGTTTGTTCGGCTGCGACAAGGACTTGCAGGCCAAGAACACGGACGACATCAGCCACTACATCTCGTGCCCACGGATGTGGGCGCTCTTGGCACAACCACGTGGACGACTTGCTGGCGATGCCCTCACGCGCCTGGGCCTCCACCAGAACGACATCATCGACGACCACCCGAAGCACGCCATAACGCGCATGGCCGTTGCCTACCGCAGCTACAACATCATGCGGGCGCGCTCCGAGAACGGCATGCCCGCCGACTACAACGACTACATCTACCACAAGGAGGTTGTTGCCGCCGCTCGCCGCGCCTTGAGGCTCACCCGATGCCTCGTGGGCGGCGCGGGGCCGCAGCGCCGCTGATCGACAGACGAGCGCTCTCCCTAGCGTGTCGTTTGCTCCTCCTCCTCCTCCTCCCCCTCCTCCTCCTCCTCCTCCACCTCCCCTTCCTTTTCCTCCTCCTCCTCCTTCTCCTCCTCCTCCTCCTCCCTCCTCCCCCATCCTCCTCCTCCTCTTCCTCCTCCTCCTCCTCCTCCTCCTCCTCCCCCCCCGCCTCCTCCTCCTCCTCCTCTCCTCCTCCCCCTCTTCCTCCTCCTCCTCATCCTCCTCCTCCTCCCCCTCCTCCTCCTCCTCCTCCTCCTCCTCCCGCTGTCCCTCCTCCTCCTCCTTCTTCTCCTCCTCCTTCCCCTCCTCCTCTTCCTCCTCCTCTTCCTCCTTCTCTTCCTCACCTCCGGGTATCCTTCCCCCCTCACCTCCGGAATCCGCCTCCTCACCTCCGGCCAGGCGATCGCAAATATGGGTCAAGGGGGCGTGGATTAGCGACGGGTCCCGTTTCCATGGGAGATCCTGGGAAGTCGCGTATTTCCGCCGCCGAACGAGGCGGCACCGGCCGCATTCTGGGGAGGGCATCTCCCCCGATCCATAGATTTGGCGGCCGCGCGCCAAATCCATGGATCGTTACTGCGCTTCACTGCCATCGCGTGGGGTGGGCACTGTTGGCGGCAGGGCCCCAGGGCCCCTGGAACCGCCGCCCGCAAATCGCCATCACATTGCCCCTGCTCTTTTTCCACCGCCATGGCATGGCTGTCAGGGTTCATCGAGGATGCGCCACGGTGTGCCAACACGGAAGTGCAGCCTCCTCTGTTGCCCGACGTCTTCTGTCATGTGGGCTCAGGCGTTAGGCCAATTTTGAGCAACCCACCCGCCACCTGGTCGGTGGAGTGGTCGGAGCCTTGCGCCAGGGCCCCAGAGCCGCCACCCGTTAAGGAGGCATTACCGTCATCTCCTGCCTTTTTTTACCACCATCGCACCGCGATCAGCTCATTGAGGGCATTGACTTGTCATATTGAACGTTGGAAGTAGAAGAAATGAAGCAAACAAGCTCAACATACAGCACATAAGTGCACGCCGAAAATCCCATGGCAAACCAAATGGAATTATAACAATCAGTGCAATACATATAAGGCCGACATACTGCAGCTTAGAGCAGAGCAGACCAGTAAAGACAACATGTAATGGACGGTGGTTCAAAACGCAACAAACAAAGCAAGCTCACACTATGCGACAGCTGATTTCTATTGTCTCACGTTGGTTCTAGTTTGCTATAACATGCAGCTTCCCTTTTGTGCACCATGTTGCTTCCCGTCGGCGGGTCACCAAACACATCGTACCGAGGGCGCACCAGGCACACGTGCCAGCAAAGCGTGCTGCATAGGTATGAGGATTCTAAGTATGAGTGTGCGGGGCCTTCAAACCAGTAGGTTTTCCAGTACATGCGCATGGGACACATCGTCGTTATATTTCGCTTCAGCTGCGAGATATGCCACGCTAGGAGTGAGAGTTCGAATAGCCAGGGACAGCTCAGGAGATGAAGACCTGAGGAGGAGGAAGAGGAGGAGGAGGAGGAGGAGGAGGAGGAGGAGGAGGAGGAGGAGGAGGACGACGACGACGATGCGAAGGAACAGAAAGAGGGGAAAGAGAGAGAGAGAGAGAGAAAGATAGACAGAGAGAGAGAGAGAGAGAGACCCCCCCCCTGTGGGGCGGCGTGGAACACTCGCGTTCGCTGAGACACCCCTGCCCTGCGCAGCACGGTGGGGAGAGCGGTTTCCTGAGTGCGGGAGGCTTCCTGTACAAATGCCCCATGCTCCTGGCGGGTGGCGGTGTGGGTGGAGGTGCGAAAGGCCCAGGTGGCTGCGTGTTCCACGGTTTGACCCTTCCGGGCAAAGGGCGGGCCGAGTGGGATTTGGTTTTTCGGGGTTCCCCGCCTCGGCCGTGCTGTGGCCCCCTCGGCCATGTCAGGCGGCCTCTCTGCCCCCCTCTTGTCCATCTCGGCCTTTGCCCCCCCCCCCCCCCTCTCCTCCCTCTCTCTCTCTCCTCCCTCTCCCCCCCCCCCTCTCCTCCCTCCCCCCCCCCCCTCCCTCCCCCCCCCCCTCTCTCCCTCTCCGCCCCCTCCCCCCCCCCGCAACGTGGGGCTGGCCGCTCGGGAGCCAATCCCCCTGTCAACTATGAGAGGTGGGCTCAACAGAGAGCAGGATCCTTCGGGGTGGCGGGGGGGAAACCCACTGGCGTGGGACCCTTTAGGATGGCTGGCGACGCGGCGTCGGACCGTGCGGCCAAGAATCACCTGGAAAGTAAGCACAAGTCCACATTGCGGGACAGAACATTCTGGGGCAAGTGAGAGTCTGAAATCACACGGAAGTTTTCGTATGTGTGTGCGTGGAGTTTGCACGCGACGGTCATGGGCGTACACCAGGCGTGCGCACGTACAAATTCGAACAGAACTGCGAGAAGCAGGGAGACGTCGAGGGGCCCAGGCCTCTCTCTTGAGTACGTTTGGCAGCATCTGGCCAACGCGCGCCCTTCGACTCCAGGACGGTATTTTTCCCCCATGGGGGGTAGGGGGACGAGGATGATGAGGATGAGACAGTACGCGCTTCTCTGTTGAACCCTTTTGGGGAAGATATGCCTCTAGGCCTGCGTTGCTGTCTCTCTTGCCTCTTCTTCGCTTCTCGTTTCTTACCTCGTTGCTCTCCTGAGAAGGTGGGGAGTGCAGGAGAGGAGCACAGCTACTCAACCAAGGTAGAAGCATCCTATATTTGCGCTTGCGTTGCCACCACCCCGATTCCGCTCGTGCCGAGATAATCGTGGCAGCTGGGAACCGGGTCCTCGTCTATGACACCACCGATGGCGACTTGGTGCATTCATTGAAAGGGCACAAGGACGTCTTGCGTTCTGTCTCTTAGTCTGGCTCTGCTGAGTGGAGGGCCTCGCACAACGTGTAGATTTTCAATATTGTGTTTAGGGGCGTTCAGAGTCCGAGCCAAATCACATTAACACGTTGGGAAGGAAACGCTTAATCCCTTGCGCCCAACTGCAGCACACGCTTGTTTGGTTCCGCGCACTCCGTGATTTTACCGTCCCTCTGGGAGAGTGTTGCGCATGCCGAGGCCCTTGGTTATCAGATTGACCCACTGACACCACTGTTGTGGCAAATGTGGGCGGTGCGACGGCAATCCCGTAAATACGCAGACATGTCACCTAGTAGTTTGCATGGAGTCAATGGATGCAATGGGGAGGGAGTCAGAGCATTAATTGACTTCTGCCCTACACGCGTCTCTAGTTTTTTTGCCGTTACATAGGGAGAGGCAGCATGCATACATATACAGACATATCTAATGCATATATGTGTGCGTAGGCACCAGTATATACACAGTATCGGCCCACAGTGCTTGATCCTTCACTGGTTGCTGGACCAAACAAGCACTTCGATCAAAACCACAATCGTGCTTGGCCATTGCAAACTGCCCACAGCACCCGCGGTGCTGGACACAATATACTTTGTGATCCTCTTGTTCTGCCGCCATCTTTCTTTATTGTGCCCCTGCTTTCTTGTAGGCCGTCTGCATGGTGCAGTCGTTTTGTGCCGGGCACTGCGGCGTGCCACCGCATTCCAATAGCATCTCGGTGGTTTACTGCAGACCGCGGTGCCGTCTTGTGGTGTGCACCACATCGCACCCCATGATGTCGTGCGGCGGCGTTGCAAGGCTAGGGGGCCACATGCGAACCCTACCCCTACCCCCGCCCCCCACGATTTCTGAGGGGAGGGGGGGGGATTCACTTCGTTCGCAATGGGGGGTCCCCCTCCTCCTCCTCGTCCTCCTCCTCCTCCTCCTCCTCCTCCTCCTTATCGCCCAGGGACGGCCTGGGGTAGGGGAAGCTTTCATCGCTACCGTTGCGCGTGCTTCGTGACCTCGGAAGTTTGGCCAGCATGATCCAGCATGATCCTCCTCCTCCTCCTCCTCCTCCGCCTCCTCCTCCACCTGGGATCCCCCAGCCCTCTGAGATCCCACGCCACCCACACCAACGCCCCCGGGGGGCAGAGGATCCGCGGGGAGGGGGCTTTGGTTTGAGCTCTATGTGGTGTGGCCTGGTCTCTGCTGGGGGGGCACCGTGGGCACGAGACTGGGAGGAGGGCGAAAAGCCCGCAGGGGCGAGCCTCTCGTACACGCCGGCCAGGTCGCGGCAAATTGTTGAACATGAGTAACATCACGGTCTTACGCCAGTGAGCACAGCCATGTATAGAGTATCGAGCACGTGTTGTAGTACCAGTGCGATTAGTGTTGTTCCAGTTCGATTATATTGCTCCGTCGGTGTTTGATCTAGAAGGTGGCACCTTTTTCGGGAGAGCTTCCAGGCGACACCGGTGGCACGTGTGAAACAGGCGGCCCGGACACCTGGGGCAATCGTGAAGCTACACGTTGTCCTGTTTCTTAGAAGCGCGAGGGCGGCAATTGCGCATCGATTGTCGCGAAACGAGCTTCCCGAAGATCTTGACAAGCATGCACCGCAGTGACGATCTATCATGCAGGTGCCAAGCAGATGTACAACGCGTGCGCAATATGTGCAGAAGTGATTGACCATCACAGGCGAAACATGAGTTGTTGAGTAAGGTTAGTACTTTCCCGAAGCACGCTGCGCAGATATATGAAGACGTGCCGTTGACCCGCACCCAAAAACAACAGCGATCGGACACGATTTAGTGATGGATACATCGCGCCTCCCATTTGAGTGGACCAACATTGGAATGTTAGCCAGCGTGGGCCCCAAATAGTGGTATTGCACCCTCGACGTGCAGGAGTTGAAGCACCATCAGTATGTGGTGCAGCCCATGTGTTGCAACCGATACGGTGCAATCAGTGCGGTGCAATCGGTGTGGGGAAACATGCAAGGCCCATCCCAGCCTGAGCCGCGCGTGACTATCCCCAATGCTCGTCAACTCCAATGCTCGAGCAAATCGCCCACCCATCCACCTACACTGCACCTTGTCTGCAACATCAGCTGGCGTAGTGACGCGAGGACCTATCTCGTGCAGATCCATGACTCGGGTGTGCGAGATATGATGACTATGATGGTGACGCTGCTCACGAAGCCGACGAAAACGACGATGGCGATGGCGATGATGATGGTGATGATGATGATGGTGGTGATGGTGATGGTAATAGTGATGATGATGCGGATGATGATGAAGACGATGATGATACGGATGACGATGATGATGGTGGTTGATGGTGATGTTGATGGTGGCGATGGTGATGATGGTGATGCTGATGACGTGTGTGGGGCTGATTTCGACGAAGGTGGTGAATACAAGTCAGATGCTGGTGATGTTCGCGGCATTGGCGATGAGTTTAAAGCTGGTGCTGGTAAGGGCTATGATAATGTCCGCGCGCGCAGACAGGTAGACGTGGTGGCAAAATTTCAATCGAAACGCACTTGGTCTTCCCATGAGGTAAATGTCTTCTGGGGCAGTGGTTTTGTAAGGATTTCGTCGCGCGCGCAGTGGCGCGCGCGAGCGACCCGCATGATACTATTTGGCGTACTTATTAGGCGCGCGATCGTTGTGAAACGTTTTCGGCATGCACGCGCGCATGCGACCCACATGGTCGCCTTTGACAGAACTCCATACGCTATGTGTTTTTTATTTATTTTTGCAGCGAGTGCGCACGCCCATTGATCTCTGGTCGGTCGACGTTCACTGAACACCAATGGTGTTGTAATGATTCGGACATGTGCGCGCGCATGTGGCCCGCGTGGTACTATGTCACAGGGATCTGGGCAACACCGCACTCAGTTAGCTGAACGCGTGTGCACCGCATTGCGTCATCTCTTAGTGCTGATGGGGCATGCGATACCGCGTCGTTTGGTACCTTCCTGGCATCTCAGATGAGATACTGTGCGTGCGAAATGAGACAGCGCGAGGAGGTGGGCGGATAAGCACGGCCTTGGCAGGGGATTGTTGTCAATTTGTTTGTAGGAGAGAGGGAGCCTATGTATTGAAATCGATGTGGTACACTAGGCGCATGTTTCTGAGCGCAACCTATGTAGTGCAACATTCCAGGTGCTACCTATGTGGCTCACGCTACGGAACATAGTCTACGTGGTGCAATGCATGTGGTGCTATCTTCAGGTATGGCTCATGTGATGCCACCTGCGTGGCGCAACCTCTGGTGCAAAATGTGCGGTTTCAACTACGTTGTCCAAGCTGTTGGGTGCAACTTGTGTGATGCAGTATGAAGAGCTTGGTCTATGTGTTGCATGCCGTTTTATCCAGTCCAGGCGTCAAACATTGCATGGTGCAGCCTACGCGGTGGACTTTCACTGTGTGGTGCAAGTTGTGTGGTGCAGTCTTTTGTCGTTTACAATGTCTGTCGCGTCTCGTGAGTCTACGACCAGCCGCTAGCACAACGACGCGGAGGATCAAGCATCAGCCAGCGCACAGGGGCACGGGTGGGCACCAGGCGAACGCACAGATCCGCAAGCCAGTGCACGGGGCGGCTACGAGACGGCCATGGGTGGGCACCAGGCGACCATTTGGATCCGCCAACTAGCGCGTTCAGCGGCCACGAGGCGGGCACCGTGCAAAACCCAGGAAAAGTAACCAAGTACAGGGAGAGAGAGAGAGAGGGAGAAGTGCGAGCCGAGCACTGCATGGGGACCATCGCGGATTGGAATCGTTTGCGTGTGCCCGCTCAGCCACTAGACAGGTAACCAGCTATTGGTTGATGTCGTTCCCTGATGGCCACACGTCCGTGAGGACAGTGTTTTCTGCGTTGCGTACTCCAAGCACGGCAAGAAGTTCGCGTCAGGCGGCGCAGACAGACAGGTCATCATCTGGACTCACAAGGCGTATCATGCTTCGTTTTTGCCCGCGCAACCTTCTGCCTGCTTGTTCCTCAAAAGGTAGCTCTGACCAACGGGTGTTTGGAAATATTTGTTCGTTGTCGGCACTGTCTAGACGACTGACTGTGTTTGCAAAGGGTCATACAGTCCATCCGACAGGGTGGTGGAACGTGAGAGTTGCTCTCAAGACCCGCATCGCCTTCTTCCCTGCCCTCCCCATGTGTCACTCTTCTCGCTCCCCTCTTCGTCCTTATCGCGCATATTCTGCTGAACATCGGGCAGCTGCGTCGCTCACAACGCATCCAACAGGTAGCCCAGCCTAAGTTAGCAGTACCACATCATCTGCTGCGGCTGTCAAGCCAGCGGGTCTGTCTTTGGAGTGCGCCCTGCTTGCCTACCTCCTTCCCCCCTCCTCATCTTCCCCCGTATCTTCCCTTCTACGAGTAAGCCCGCAGGATTCTCCAAACCAGGGAAATTCGTCCAGCCGAGATCGCCTCCCTGAACGCGAGAAGTGTGAGAACCGCCATGACGATCCCCTTGTGGTGGGCCCAAGCGAGGTTCGTGGGCTCAACGCTAGCATCGCCGCGGAGGGGAGTTCGCCGAGAGAACCCTGCCACTAGAGAATCAGCTTGGACTGATGCCAGCACTGGCTGGCTGCCAGTACTGGCTGGCTGCCAGCACTGGCTGGCGCACAGATGCATCCTGGAGCACGCCGCGCACGCCCCACTGGGAGCACGCCCTAATCTGGCTGCAAGCGCGGGCTGGAGACAGGGACAGATGCAGAGGGCGATGAGGGAGCGGGAACTGAGCCGAGCGGAGGGGCATGGCAAGCGTATCGGACGATTCATTGCTAGTCCACGCGCTGGATGCCATGAACCCCCCCTCGAGGCCCGCTCCACTCTCTCTCCGGAGGGACAGCGGGAACCACCGCCAACGAGAACGGGGGCCGCCGACCCCCGGGCGGTGGCCCGCCTGAGCGTCGTCCTGTATGCACTGTGCTGCGCTCGGTCGTGCCACCCCACCGCCCCGGAGGTCGGCTCGCGCCGCTGGGTTCTCGGCAGAGGTGGCCCCTGCTCGTTCCTCTCCAGGAGGCGCTGCGCCAGGGACAACTCGCGTCAGGAGCATCCCAGAACGCTCTCGGGGCGTTCCAGAACGCTCTCAGGGACGCCGTGGATGCGGACAAAGATCTGGCACCCGAAGGCTAGCTTTTTTTCCAACTCCACTGTGCCCCGGCCTTCTGGCGGCCCTTTCAAGAAGATCAAGGACGCAAGCAGGGCCGTGCGGACTTCTTGGATCGGCGCTGTCCGTTGTTTTCCCAGAAATGGGCGTGGGTCCAGAGTTTTTTTTAGTTCGTAGCTTTGCCAGCCCTCGATTTGCGCAGGGCCAGCGAGTTCTTTCCGCGAGTTCATGTGTTCAAGATGTCTCATGCGAAACGCGTCTTTTGCAGAATTGTTGAGGATGTCTCATGCGAAACGCTCGTCTCGCAGAGTTCCAGGATGTTTCAATCGAAGCGCTGGTTCTGCAGATTTCTCGCCAAGCGCTTGTCTTCCCGCCCCGGCCACCCAGGGAGATATCTAATTTGAGGTCGTCGGACTATTCGAACGTAGAAGTACATACGCGGAGGGGGCATCTAGCATGCGTCATGCGTCCTTTCATTTGACATTGGTTTTCACGTGTCTAAGCCACCCAGGGGGGATCGTCCTGTCACAGAGTTTCGGTCCGTCTATTGTCGGTGCGTTCCGCCTCGCTTCGTATTCGCCCCGTCTGGGCTCGTCCCGCTTCAGAACTGAATCGGATCTTGAGCTCGAGCTGGTAGCGCGCCCCGAACTTTTCGATTGCAGCCACCTCTGGGCGAGCTATTCGCCCAGGCAGCTCGAGCTTACGATCCAGATCAGTTCGGTCAGGATTCGGATGCCAAGGACGCCTTGGTCCACAACGCGATGGAACACGGAACAAGCTAAGACGGAATAGCGCAGCACAGGTACAGCCAAACACGGATCAGTCGCAATTGACACTAGGATCGCGGCTTTGGGGGCGCACATCTTTGCTATTGTCTGAGTGGTTCTCGGCCCTTGGAGTTCGGCTCCCTCGATAGGAGACGCCATGTGGATTCAGGAAAGTGAGCCGGAACGTATCCGGCTCGTCCCAGCCGCAGTTCGTTCTGCCTCGATTCCGTCAGGGCCGCTTCGGCCCTCGTCTCGGCTCGTGTTGCTTCGGTCCGTCCTGTCTCGGTTCGTCGCGTCTCTCGGTGCGCCGCGCTTCGGTCCGTCCACTGTCGGTGCGTTCCGCCTCGGTTTGTATTCGCCCCGTTGCCTCCTCCTGGCCTCGCCGTGAGGCTGCGCTCCTTCCCTTCCCCCCCTCTTTGTTAATTCAAGCTCCGCGCGGCCCGCTTAGCTTCGACCGGAAGAGGTGCGCTCTCGACCCGCGAATCAAAAATTGTATTCGCCCCGTCTGGGTTCGTCCCGCTTCAGAACTGCATCGGATCGTGAGCGTTTTTTTGTTTGTTCCCTCCCCGGCGGAAGGCTCGGCACCCGGGCCAAACCTCCCCCCCCCCGAGTATAAAGCTCGGGGGCGGCAAAGGGGGGGGGTGATGACTGGGGGGAGGTGGATCATGGCGGGGGCCATGAGATCTCCCCAGATTTCATGGCGCCTCTTTTTATTTCATTACGTCCCTGCCCCCCCCCTGGGCCGCGCACATGCCGCCGGCCATGATTTAACCCCGGAACGCTGACGATCGTGCTGCGGGGAGGGGGGCCTGAGCCTTCCCCCTACATGCTGGGAGCGGGCCCCCCGCAGATATGGCGTTCTGCTCACAAGCATGGCGTGGTCTGAATGGCACGCGTTGACGCGTTGATGCTCATAAACTTGCTGTGGCGCTCGCAGGCTCCCCACCTGTTGCGGCGCCGAGCTCACAGGCATGCCGTGGTGCTGAAAAGAAACGTTTGGGTGCTCACACGCGCGCTGCGGCGCTTGCAGGCCACTGCGGTGCGCAAAGGTCAGGCGGACTCGCTGCCAAGGTGCCCGCTCGGAGGGCGGTAGGTCGGTTGACCGGCATTTGCAGAATGTGGGAGCTCTCTTCCCACTGGCCAGGGGCTTCTGGCCGCGCCGCGCTGACGCGGCGGCGGCCCCGGCACGGGTGTTCCAGATTGATCGCGGCCCAGGGGGCCGCTTCGGGCCCCGGGGACCCGCAGAAACGAGCCCGCGGCTCGAAGTCCATATCGGAGATGGGACCGACGGCCACCAGGGTCTTCTAGGAGCGGCGTGGGCCGCTCGCTGCGCGAAGCCCTGCCTCGTTGAGGGCCACAAGGCGGTCGGGGGCAAGCTGCTATGGGATATGTAGTTGTGGACGAGGGACGGCAAAGGAAAACAAAGCCTGGCCATCGTAGTCATCTTCGTCGTCGTCGACGGCCCAGCTACGGAAGGTTTTTTCGACTCTGCCTCTTGGCCAGTGCTCAGTTGCAGTGCGATACAGCCGGCGCGCCTAATAGAACGCGCGTTTTCTCCAGCCAGAGCACCCTTGTGGTCTTGACTCTGCGGCCTGTCCTTTGCCATTTTCATTGGACAATTTTTGCCAACAAGTCCCAAGTTTGGTTTCCAAGGGTTTTGAATCCTTGCCACCTGTCCTTACTGCACGTAACGATTGTGGACCCATCGCCATGGAGAAGACAGAGACTGGGCTGCTTCGCGCCTTCCCCCGCAGGCGTTGTGGTGTGCGCGGGCGCTGTGGTTCACGCAGGCAGCGTGGTTCACGCTGGCTCTGTATTGCACGCGGTTGCTGCGGTGCACACAAACGCTGTGGTGTACGCAGGCGTTGCGGTGCACGCGTGTCGAATCCTCAGGCGCTCCCTTTTCCATAGAGGCTCTTGTAAAACATGTTTATCAAACATCTGTTTTCTGTGGCATTCGAAGGCGCCCCACTTTTCCACCGGGATCCCTTTTATCTAACAGTTGATTTCCGTGGAATCCAGAAGCGCTCCGCTTTTCATAGCGACTTCTTTCGGAACTCTATAAGAAGTTTATGTTATGTGGAGTCCAAAGGCACTACATTTTCCATAGGTCATCCTTTCAATAACCCAACCTATACGACCACCCTTCGGGTGATAAGGAGGGTCGGGGGGAGGGAGGAGCCAACGTTGTAGTCGATCGGTCTCACTATCGATCTTACTAGCGATCTTGCTATCGTCGGTCTCCCTCGATCGATCTCACTCGATATATCTCACAATCGATATCATTCGACCTATTTCATTCGATCGATTTCACAATCGATATGACTATTGATCTCATCTCAATATCGATCTCACGATCGATCTCGCAATATAAATATATATATATATATAGATATATCACATTCGGTATCACTATCGATATCACCTTCGATACCACAGTCGATCTCACAATCAACGTCAGCATCATTATCATCGTCGCCATCATCATCAACGTCATCATCATCGTCGGGACACCATCATCATCTTCACCTCATCACCATCACCATCAACATGATCATCATCACCACCAATTTCATCATTGGGACAACACCATCGTCACATCATCAGCATCACCATCATCGGAACGCCACCATCATCATCATCGCATCATCATCATGAACAGCATCGTCAACATCATCATCATCGTGACACCACCATCATAATCATCAACAACATCACCATCAACATCACCATCACCGGGACACCACCATCATCGTTACCATCATCATCACCATCAAAATTAGCATCATCATCGGGACACCATCATCATCACCATCCGCATCATCATCATCGGGCCACCAGCATCAACACCAGCGTCACCTCATCATCATCCTCATCATCAGCATCATCATCAAACATCATCATCGTCATCACCACCATCATCGGGACACCATCATCATCAGCACCAACAGCAGCATCATCAACTTCATCATCATCACCTTCATCATCGGGACACCATCATCATATCATCATCACCATCATCTTCATCATCAGCACCTCCTCATCGCATCATCATCAA